TTATCTATTTATTAAAAAAACCCTTTTATTTATTTATTTATTTAGTTTGTTATTTTTATTACAGGAAGTTCTTGTTCAGTTTTTATTGTGAAGAATATGTTGCTCTTATGGTTTCTTTTATAACATGTTTGTTTTCCTTAAAACCAAAACTAATAAATATTCTTTTCTTTTTTTTTTTAAACACAACAAAGCATTTTAAAGTAATTTACAAAAGACATAAAAGTCATTAAGATAACATTTAAAAAACAAGACATAAAAGGATATATTTAAATAAGATTTTAAAACAGTAAAATAAAATAGACGATTAAAAACAAGCTTAACTTGAATAAAACAGATTAAATAGAAGGATCAGAATTGCAGTGCAGGGTTTGAATGAATATTCTTTTTCATTAAAAGCAATGACAATAAGAAAAGCTTTAAGCCTCTTTTTAAATGAATCAGTTCAAAATGTATTTTCTGAAAGAACTGCAGCAGCTGTCGAGGCCATTTAATTGTTTATTTATTTCTTAATTTAACTTTTAATTTTACTGAATATATTTGGATTTTAGACATTAGGGAAAACAAATCATCCAAAGACCTTGAGCTTTGGGAATTGTTAAAGGCATTTTTTTAATTTAATTATCTTTATACTTAAGTAAAAAAAATAAAGATACATTAATTGAAAATAAAAAATACTTATTAGTTGCCATCCTAATCACAATCATGCACAATAGGGTCTACACACACTACACCTCATTTGTTATTATAGAATAAATGACTGTACCCTGTAGTAGCATCTACTGAAATGCCCAAAGAGATAGGAAAATCAAAGTCCCATGGTGTTAATTTAGGCTAAATTTAGAACATATACACCTGCGTCCAAGTCATGAAATACCTAAAATGACCTTTTGTGTTTCATGTGGCAGAAACAGGGACTGCAGAGAAACTGCACATGATGCAGATCAGTGTTTACGGCGGAAATCATGTTGAAAAGGCAGAGACGGAAACATGCAGGGGACAAATTCATTAATAGATAAGCAAGACATTGATTATGGTTATTATGATATATTATTTAGAACTGTAACTGATGATTATTGTTATTATGGATTCATCTGACTGTTGTTTTAGTGTATTAAATGTTACAAAATAGCCGAAGTAATGATTTCAAATTGATTTTTCTGTTAACTAACAATCCAAAACGCAGAGATATTTAATTTACATCACATTTTAGAGGCTGAAACCAGAGAAAGGTTTGCAGTTTTCACTTCAGTAATAACTTAAATATTGAAGATAAATGTCTTGTCAATCAAAATAATGAATATAGCTGCAACTAGTAGTCATTTCCATCATCATTTAACCTGCCAGTTGTTTTCCTGTTTAATCGCTTTGACTATAAATACAAAAATAGTGATAAAGGTTTGTTGTAATTTCCCTCAGCTCAAGATTTCTGTGCTTCATTGTCTTGTTTTGTTTGAACAACCCAAAACCCAAATACATTCAATTCATTATCATGTTTATTGTCACGTATGACTAAAAAAGCAGTTAATCTTCAAATTCAAAAAATAAATATTTCGTATTTTTGCTTAAAAAACAAAGATGTAAACACTGTTGCTGAGGCATGTTGTGTAAATTAAAATAATGTATGAATGGACCCATTTTTCCTGCAATGTATGATAACTACAATTTGAATAATATATCTAGGGCTTAGTGTCACAATACTGACATTTCTAACTTCAATATAATACCTTGAAAAATACTGACATTCAAAACCGTTTTTGATAACACAGAAAATTTTGACATTGAGGGCATATGATTTAAAAAATGATCAAAAGATGAATATAACAGAGCTATAACATGACAAGGATGAATTTTCTTTTCTTGGTTTGTAGTAGGGAACAGCATAGTGACTGTAGTACACATTAATGATAAGAGAAAGCGAGACAGAGCTGCGGGTACTGGTGCATCAATACTGCTTAAACTGAGCATTGAAACTGTTTCACATATTCAGAATCAATATGTATCAATAAATCAATATTTATGACAAATCTACCAGGGCTGCAGTTTTAAATATATGTATATTTTTAGTATTGACTAATATGCAGATTATTACTAATAAAACAGATAGGAAATATGTCAAAGTTCATGTCCTTGCTTGCGTTGTTTTGTTTGACCGTGAGTCCAAAACTCAAATATATTCAGTATATATTTCTTATATATATATAAGAAAAGCATTGATTCCTGACATCTGAGGAGTAAATATTTGGCATTTTTGCTTAGATAAATAACTTAAAAATTGTTGCTGATGAATGTTATGTCAATTGAAATGAATCAACTAATTGTTTCAGCTGTAATATTGTATTCAGCTGCAATATAACACAGCCTAATAGCAGTTTGAGTTATATCTGCAGGCTGAAAATATTGACTAATCTGCAAATTATTTTCTTAATTAACATTTTGCCTACACAAAGCTCAAGGTTTGTGTCCTAAAATACGTTGTTTTGTTCGACCATCAGTCCATAACCCTAATATATTCAGTTTATTATCATGTATGACAAAGAAAAGCACCAAAATCGTCACATTTAAGAAGCAAATATTTGGCATTTATACTTACAAATGACTTTAATGTTGCTGCTGACAGATGTTTCAGTTTCAATTTTGTGATCAGCTGTAGTATTGCATAGGCTAACTGCAGTTTGAATAATAAATCCAGGGCTGCAACTGACTGTATATATTTATATTAGCAATTAATATGTAGATTAAAAACAAGGATCATGTCCTCAGTTGTATTCTTTTGTTAAAAACCCAAATATATTCTGTTTATTATCATGTAAATCCTCAAATCTGACCAGCAGCTATTTGACATTTATCCTTGAAAAACATATTATAATGATAATTTGATTATCAAAATAGATTGTTTTTATTTTGATGGATTAATCTAGTAACCGTCAAAGCTCTAAATTTATCATATGTCAATAAATATATTTATAAAATCTGCAAGAATAACATCTGACAGCTGCAAACCTGCTGCAGAAATCAAGAAAAATAACGTTGACAGTTTCTGATGAATCTTCTCATTAAAATTAAAGACGGCAGAAACTCTGTCCGCGGTCTAATTATACCTCCACAGCACTGAGCAGACAAAAAAACATGGCAGACAACCGACAGGGTGTTACAGGGGCTTACAGGCTTGTTGCCATGACAACAGAGGAGCCCTTCTCCCTCACTCTCTCTCTCTCTCTCTCTCTCTCTCTCTCTCTCTCTCCGTCTCTCTTTAATGCACACACACACACACGCGCGCTGTCACTCTCTCTCTCTCTCTGTCTGTCTGTTGTACACACACACACACACTCTCACACACACACACACACATATATATATACAGTATTACAGTGGAAGCCGCCTGCTTTGAGATCCGTGCTCAGGAAAAATATAGGAAACACAGGAAGGAGTGTAGGGACACTCCACATCTGTTTTGGATGGTGAGTGGCTGCTGACCGCTGATTGCTTGTTTACATACTGTATGCTTTTGATAAATCTGCTTTAATTTTAAAACAAGAGACATTTTTGGAGGCATGAATTAATCATTCGTGCTGCACGGGAGATGTGCCACGTTTGTTTTTTTGCTGCTTCTTCCTTTTTCTTTTTTTTCTTTTTTAAAGATTAGGGTGGAAGCTGTCATCGTAATGGTAATTCATAGCTGGGTAGCCATGGTGAAGTCAATTTCCCCCTCCCTCTGCCACTGCTGAATGCATTAGTCTAATGAGATGTCTGCAGCCTGTGTGCCGAGCAGCAGCAGCAGCAGCAGCAGCAGCAGCAGCAGAGGCAGCAGTGTGTTAACCAAAAGGGGGGACGAGGAAAAAGCCACACACAGCAAGAGCAAGATGGCTTTGCCTTCATTGTTAGGGATCTAGCTTTATGGTCACCTTTAGGCTCCTGGGATTTAAGACAAAAGGGCTTGGCTCTTGGGTTTTCACAATAGACGACAGCAGGTAATAGCCCCCCCCCCCCCCCCTCCTCTCTGCATCTCTCAGGTTTATTAGTGTGTTATCAGTGCAGGATGGAGGTGCTGTTTCCTCCACAGCTCATGCATGGCTGCCTTTTGTGTTGTTTGCTTATGATGGTGCTCTGCTAAATGCTGCTCCTCTCACCGCAATGCTCAGCTGAGTGTTCTGCAGTCTCAGTGTTTGGATGTTTGCTGTTGTTCACCTTTCTGCCTCCTCTGTGTCTGCTCTAAATTGATGCTAATGCTGCTCTCTGATATGTAGTTGCCAAGGAGGAGGAGGACGAGGATTAATGTGCAAGTAAAGTGCATGTTTTCTTTGCATTTCTGTAGCTGGAGCTCAGTTGCTTGTTTTCCTTTGTCTCCAGCTCCAAATGAGTGTACCTGCAGCAACGGCACAGAAATCAGACGGCAACAACAGTGAAATGCAATCAGCTGCAGTGGCTCCCTCCTTCATCCCCAGCCAGTCGGGGAAGATACCGGGCAGGAAGAGAGGGAGACCCCCGCTCCGCAATGTCGCCAAGATGGATTTTCCAAACCGTTACCCTGAATCGCTCCCTCCACTCAAAGTGCCAAAGAAGAGGGGGAGAAAGCCGGGCTTCAAGGTCAGCCACATGAGGGGGAAACCGGAGGGGGATGAGCTGTGCTGTGTGTGTGGGGATGCAGTGTGTTTAAAAATGCATGTGTACACAGAAAGACAGACACACCGGCTCCATGCCCTTCACGTTTTGTGGGACCCCAGTGTAACAGAGAGAGACTTAACATGTGTGAGGCTTTGTTCTGCTGTAGTCAGATGTTACTGAAATATTATCATGTCAAAAGAGAAAGTCATAATGTCTGTTTTTTATCCATGAATACACAGAATTTATCATCTGTGGTTTTATACAGATTTGGTTGCCTGATTATTCCACCATCCCCCTCTCTGCACGATTCAGTAAATAAATGATGCCTGAAATAAACACAGGAGTATAAAAACTTCTTCTCCCACAGCTCAAACCCAGGATGGTGATGACACCGTTGGCTATCTCTCCACCCAGCAGCACCCCTGAGCCCGATATGAGCTCCATTCCTCAGGATGCTGCCACCATCCCCCACTCTGCCACGCCCCAGGTGCTCACAGGTAAGACACAGAACTCTCAAACCACACATAAGGGCTCATTTATGCTCAAAGTTAGATACATATACTGACAAGGATGGAGTCCTCTGTTAATGCTGCGTTCATTTTGCCTGTATCCATTTTCTGATAGCTTAGGGATATGGGCGAAACCGAGCAGTACCACTAGAGATCATGGGGGGTAGTGTAGCCTTGTTCTAGCGAGATACTACTATAGGAGACCTTTGAAAATTGCTGTAACTGACCGAATCAATAATATAATGAAAAGAATTCTTCATCCACACCACTGTCTACAACATTGCCTCTGTTAAAAGCCACATTATTACGACCTCCTCCATCGTGGCCACCTTTGTTTTTGTCTGAAGCCTTTGCTGTGCCCTCTAGTGCCATCTATTGGCTGTTTTATGTCGTCATAAAGGACAGATAGAAGTACGAGGGCAGTGACGTTACAACGTTCGAAACTGATGTGTCTATTTTCGTACGTAAAGGGAGTATGAATGAGCCTTAAGAGGAATTAAAGGTCCAGTGTGTGGGATTTAGTGGCATCTAGTGGTGAGGTGGCAGAACTGAAACTCCTCCTATGTGCCAGGTTTGTAGGGGAACTATGGCAGCCAACGCAAAAATGCAAATAGAGAGCAAGTGTTTGGTTTGTCTGATCTGGGCTACCATAGGACAACATGATGGACTCTGGACGAGGTCTCGCTCTGTATGTAGACATAAATGGCTCATTCTAAGGTCACAAAAACACAATGATTATTATTTTCTGGTGATTATAAATGAATGAAAACATAGATATGATTATTAGATTCCATATCTGCCAATAGATGCCTCTAAATCCTACACACTGGACCGTTAATAGACTTCTTGTCCTGAAAACCTCGCCACGATTTGCTTTGACTCTTAAAGATCATTAAGATAATTTAGGTATCTCTTCTCCATCCCTTATCCACCCAAACCTGTCTCCCCCTCTGTTTTCCCTGCCCCAGTCTGTATCTACATCAACAAACAGGCCAACACTGGCCCCAACCTGGACAGGAAGAAGATCCAGCAGCTCCCCGATCACTTCGGACCCGACAGACCCTCTGTGGTGCTGCAGCAGGCGGTCCAAGGCTGCATCGACAGCGCCTTCCAGCAGAAAACAGTGTTCACTCTCCTCACGCAAGGCTACGGGGGAGAAAAAATATCAGGTGTTGTACAAAGACCTCCCTCAGGTGTTGCTTTCTATTTGTTCTGTTGTTTTTATTTCAGCACTTTACCTGAGGTGGCACTGTGTAGCAAACATGCATTAGTAAAGGTTTAATAACTGAGACTATGATGTTGTTTCAAGTGGTTCCTCCTGTTTTGCTCCTCCAGCCACATTTGATGGGAAGCAGCACCTCCTCAGCCTCCCCGTGGTGAACAGCATCGACTATGTGCTCCGCTTTCTGAAGAAGCTCTGCCGCAGCTTGCACTGTGAAAACCTCTTCAGTGATCAGCCCATTACCCAGCACAGTGGTGGCTCCTACCAGTCGGATGGTACGTCTGAATCTGTCTAACAGAAGCTGCTGTGCAGACATAAACAAATTATTTGAGCTAATTCTGACTCTGATCTCGTCTTCAGCTGAAACATCGATGGCCGAGGACTACCACTTAGACCAGTCTGACGGCAAACGCTACTCCGTGGACCCTGGCGATTCTGCTTTCAGCTCCATAAGCTCGTCCTACTCGCCAAAGTCCTCCTACGGGTTTCGTTCGTCACAGCAGTTCTCCAATGGCTCAGCCTCCATGAGTATGTGCAGGCAGTCATCCACCAGCCCAAACACGTTCCCCGAGAGCAACAGGACAGGTGAGACAAAGCAAAGATTGCTTCAATGGATTTTTCTCTGAGGTGTGAAAAGTTAAGCACCTTTCTATTCTGTGTTCTTCCAGGAGGTTATAATGCATCTACAGAGCCCCAGGAGTCCAAGGCTCCACCCAATAAAGACCCATCCACCTGGTCTGTGGAAGATGTTGTCTGGTTCATCAGGGATGCGGACCCACAGGCTCTCGGCCCCCACGCAGACGTCTTTAGGAAACATGTAAGTTCATGGTACTCTTGTTCATCCAGTGGGGATTCTTGCTTTGTCGTCTATTCCTGGCTGATTTGACACCATCTTCTTCGTTCTGCTGCCCCTCAGGAGATCGATGGAAACGCTTTGTTACTCCTAAAGAGCGACATGATCATGAAGTACCTCGGACTGAAGCTGGGGCCGGCCTTGAAGCTTTGCTACCACATCGACAAACTAAAGCAGACTAAGTTCTGAAAACCCTATACGATATATTTCCCCTCCTTGAGTCCAACAATACATTTGAAAAGGGACCCCAGGTCTGTGGGCCAACGGGAAGAGAGGAGGATCTGCAAGCATGGGAACTGCCCATTGGTTCGACAGCCCATTGTTCCGACCATATTAAACTCATTGTTCCGAAGTCCGTTCCGAAATCATCATGATGCCCTGTGGTTAAGGTCTGGTTAGGTTTAGGCACAAAAACCACTTGGTTAGGGTCAGGAAAAGATCATGGTGTGGGTTAAAATGAAAAAGAAAGTGACAAACTCATAAGCCGTGAGCCTGCTCCGCCTCAAGCCGGTCGCGGCGCACCATACGCCCGCCGCGAGCCGTTCAGCACCGCAGACAGTCGGACTAATGGGATGTCAAACCAATGGGCTGTCGAACCAATGACATGGACCCTGCAAGCATGAGGTGCATCACAAATAGGCTGCTACTTATAAGGTTAAATGAACTCATTTGTGCTCAGAAGGAGCAGTTAACAGTAACTTCTTTGTAAAAGTATGCTATAGGTGAACTAAAAAGTCCAAGACAGCCGCACAAAGAGTGACATCTTCAAATAATACTGCGCAGATACAACTTTATCTTCGGTCGTTTATGAATCTGTTGCTAACAAACATTAGCATTTTAACATTAGCAAGATGCGGAAAAGTAGGAGGAGAGTAGGGTCCAACTTAATGCTTACATTATTGGGTTAACGTAAATGTTAGCTTCTTCTAACAGGAAACAGATGTTAACATAACATTGAAATAGCATCACCGTTTAAGCTGATTTGGCTAACTTGTCAAATCCAACTGTTACGAAGCAATATTAGCTTAATTAAGAGACATGTTTCTAGTCACCTGATCAATGTAAGTCTAATTCACTCTTGTTTTACCTCTGTTTTGGTCTTCACTGACTCCTGAGGGAAATATTTGTCTCTTTAGCTGCTGAATGCTCCACTAAGTTCACTAGCTTGTTGCTAACTGTGCGTGTCTGTTGTGTGGTGCTGAGCAGGTGGTGTACTGTGGGTTTTTAGAGCTTTTACTTTGCTGTGACCAAAAACAGCGTGAGTGGTGAGAATGAACCAAAACAGTAAATTTAAGGACCCAACAGCGTCCCCTAACGAGCTGAAACCTGCTATAATGCTCCGTTGAGCCGAGGCAACTGCAGATTCATCAGTAGGTTCATCACTATGACTATGATACTACTTTGCTTTTACATTTCCACTGATTTATTATTGTCATTCTAGCTACTTTAAGGGTCTGAGTAGGGATGTAGGGAACGACAAATTCCCCTAATATTTAAACTGAGGTTTAAACTTAAACTAGTTAACTAGTCTAAAAGTAGGAAACACTCAGAAAACAGTCGACATTGATCACAATTTAATCTTTAAGAGTAATTGTCCAGAGAAATATATATTGGTGGTTCCCAACTGGTGGGTTGCGGGTCCATTCTGAATGGAAAATACAGGCTTTATTTTAAAGTACATTGAATTTCTCGCACAGCTTTTATTTTTAAGGTGTTTCCTGCTATAGAGTAAGTGACTAATGGACAGCTACTTAACAGAGACAGCAAACTAGCTTGACGACATAGCCAAAAGCAAGTGTGACGCTAAATATATTCAACTGTGTGGACCTTGAATCTGGTCCCTGTGTCTGGACCAGTTAGGAACTTCTGGTTCATATTAAAAGAGCTATTTGAAATTCTTAATCACATTTTGTAATAACCAAATTGTGTGTTAAAGGCCCCTGAAATATGTGGCACTTTGCACTGTGTATTATGAACATTGCATATTATCCTACAAAATATGGCAGCTCACTAAATAAAAGTTAACAAATGACATATTGAAAACAATCTTTAGGAAAATAAATCTTTCAGAAACATGCCTGCACTCGCATAAAATGATAACAGTTTAGACCAACTAGTATTTCTAGGGCAGACTAGCATGGGTAGTGTGTTTAATCAACTCCGCAACGGATGCACATCCCTAGTTTTGAGCAGAGAAACATTCAAATCTGGTTGAGTAAATGACGGAGGGGACTGCTAAAGGAAGTGACACACCTCATACCTGTATCCCGACCCTCTTTCTTGGCTCACAGACTTTGGGTCATCAGACGTGAGGTCCACAGTCGTTGGACCCTTTCAGTACATTTTACTGAAGATTTCCATGATGTCATGTAGTGATAATCACAAATTCACCCCTCTCTTTTTCTCTCTTTACTTACTTACTCTACTTTTGGCACAGATTTTGAACTAAAAACCATCAGATTGTGGAATGCATCCTTCATACACGTTAACATTATGTAACCAGTAAAAGAAGGCCAGTGTAAGGAAAGGTGTTTGTCTCACAAAACTTCATGAGCAGCACCTCTGTCTGCTGCATGCAGATTTCATAATATATATATATACACATATATATATATTCATCATCTGACAAGAAATGTATAACAGAAAACACTTTATACCTTAAGGAACTCTCACTTTGTTAGATCTCACCATAGGATCTTGTTTACCCGTGTTTACTGAGCTGAAAACATATCTATAACTGTACTGAGAAACGGTGCATTAAATACTACATTGCTTTTTAATTGAGAGATTTAGAAAATCATTTTGATACTATTTTTTCACATTACTGTGTAACAAGAAAAGTAATGTTCCCATTGGATTTTTGTCATTCTTTTTTATTATAATTTTAATATTAAAAAACAATATAACCTAAACAAAACATAGCCTACATAGAAAGACAGTCGCTCTCGTGTTAGTATATATAAAGAAAAATGAGGGCATTGTAAACGTGATATATTTATGTTTCAATATGCAAGATTGTTACATGCCAATTATCTCCACAGGCACTTCATGTGTACTCATAAGAAGGTTTTTTTTTAAATTCATATGTTTCTATGTTTTTATTGAGCATCAGTGTTGATACGGAAGCTGTCAAAACACACGAAACACTTAAATGTTACACTGAGAAAACTTAAACGGCCATGTAAATGGGTATATAATATAGTATTGCTTTTGTATACCACTTTTGGTGTACAGTATGCATCCTTTTTTAATCAATTAACCTTTGTAAGTGAATGCTGCTGTAAAGATACTACATGTAAGCCATGCCTAGTGAGATCAAGCTAAGGTGTTTTATTTTGAAAATCACTATGAATAAGAGTTTTAGAGAACGCTGAGTGGATCAGTACTCTATGCTGGTGCTAAAGTTATCTATGTATTTAACTGTTTGCTTTTGTGTTTGTGAGATGTAAAGGAAATCTTATGTGTATCCTGTACTGTATGTGAGCATTAAATTAAGAAATCAAGTAATGAGAGATTTGAGTGTTTCAGACTTTTCATTTCCTCCATTTTAGTGTCTGTATTCTGACGGAATATATTGGAGGTTATCTTTTGTTTTTATAATTAAATTTAAATGGATCCAGATTTGGATGTGGGTCCACACATCTGAGAATTATTTTGGCTTGGAGCTTCATCTGTGCTTCAACACACATGATTTGACAAAGGTGACCTATATCTGTGGCTCCCAAACTGGTGTCCTCCAGGGGTCCTTACTGGGGCCTCTCAGGGGTCCACATATATCAGGAACAGATTCACATCTCAGCCCGATCGCCAGAGGAACATGTTGGCATTGAACGTTTTTGCAAACCACGTATATGTTACATTTTTACTTTTCATACATATCATATCAACATTTCTAAGGTGATGACGCAGTTTTGACTACATGTAGTCTATATGAACTGACGTTATCATTGAGAGGTTGAGGGGATGGTGTGATAGGAGACGGCTGCCAAGCTGCAGACTACTGTTAGAGATCAAGAAACAACAAAACCAGTTGTTTTTTTAGCCACATGTTGTGGTATTTCTAGTGACAGTGGCACCCAAACTGGTTGGTTTTTTAGCTGCACATCATGGTATTTCAAGTGGCTTCGGTGCCACAAAAACTGTTTTTAGTGAGACTTAACAGCATCTACAGCAGCGATTGTGCCACCAAAAGAGGTAGTTTTTAGCAAGAGGTAGCGGCATTTCCATCAGTGACTGCGGCACCAAAACTGGAATATTTTAGCGAGAAACTGCTGCATTTCCAGTGGCAACTATGGCAGCAAAATTGGGTATTTCTTAGTTAGACCTCCCAGCATTTCCAACTGTGACAGCAAAACTAGGTGTTTTTTTGCAAGACTTTGCAGCATTTCCAGCAGCAATTGAGCTACCAAAACTGGGTAGTTTCCAGTGGTGACTGTGGCACCCAAACTGGGATTTTTTAGTGAGACACGGCTGCATTTCCAGTGGCAACTGTGGCTGCAAATTGGGCATTTCTTAGTAAGACTTACTCATTATTTCCAGCAACGGCTGTGGCACTAAAACTAGGGGTTTCTTAGCGAGACTTTGCAGCATTTCAAGACATGATTGAGGCACCAAAATTGGGTATTTTAAAACAAAACATACTTTTTTTTTAACCATAACCAAGTGGTTTTTCAGTCTAAACATGACCACATCTTAAACACAGGATTGTCGAAACATAAAGAAATAATAATAAGCACATAAGCGCATCAGCTGAAATAATTAAGCTGTTAAAGACATAGTTTCATATTTCATGGGAAAAAGCTTTTTTACATTCTTACTGAGAATAGATGGAAAGATCAATGCCACTCTTATGTTGTGAAGTTAAAGCCTGCAGCAGGTTAGCTCATCTTAGCATAAAGACTAGAAACAGTTGGAAACAACCTGTCTCTGTCCACAGGTTTAAAAAAAATCCTCCTATTAGCACTTTTAGTATGGATATGTTATAATTTGTTTAATCCCTATAAAAATTGAAGTGTTAACATAACACATTGTGCTTTTGCAGGGCTGTTGACTATTTTGTAGCCTGGAGCACTGACCTCCAAGACTTCTGCTGGTTGCCAGGCAACTGCATCCAGCCATGAGACAGTCAGCTAGAGCTAGCTGTAATTCCCTTGCATTTAGGCTAAATCTTAAGGCTTTAGAACTTCAGGCTGGGAAATGAAACGTACAGATAATTGCACCACTAACAGCATGAATAAATAACTCAATCAGCAAAACAAATGTTGGCATTGTACATTTCTGTAAACCATGGATATGTTACAATTATACGTTATTATGTAGCCGATACATCAAACGTTTCTTTACGTTTCAACAATACCG